TTTTTATTCGCGTGACGATAAGTTTCACGCTTTATTCGAGAAAATTTCCCCCGTTAACTATTCTCCTCGCTGACTCGGCTGCTTGGTACGGAACGCATATGCATTACTGTCTACCACCCAACACCAAATGGTTAAGTTGAACGGTTTCATTGCCAACTTAAAAGTTCTCTACGAGCACACGAAAATGACAACTGGTAAGAAACCTTACCGCTCGTCCTCTTAGGCATCAGAACGAGCTTGAAGGCGGATATCCAGTGTTCCGCGGCTGAACTAGTATACGGCACGACATTGCGTCTGCCCGGGGAATTCTTCACATCACGGAGCAGACCTGATTTCGGTACATCGGAGTACGTCCAACGACTGTCTGCATTTATGCGAACGCTGCCTCCGGTGTCAACTCGAATACAAAATCGACAGGTCGCTCTCCCTCGAGAGTTATACACCTGTTCACATGTTTTCATTCGAGTAGATTCGGTACGCAAACCTTTGCAACAACCTTACGAAGGCCCTTTTCACGTGGTCGCTCGTCACGAAAAGACCTTCAAGGTTGATCGACATGGTCGCGTCGAGCTCGTCAGCATTGATCGCCTCAAACCAGCACACGTTGATGACAGTGCCATATCCGATAATCTGAGACTCAATGCTATACCTATCAAACCTACTAGCGGGATCCTCAAACCATCTTCGGGTGTTTTGGTGGAGTTTTGTTCTCTGAGCTATTGGATGGTTTGGTCGTGGAGCTTTCATCGTTCTTCCGAACGACATCATCAGCACAAACTTCAAATAGAAGTGAAGTGTTTGAATTTATCCATATGTATTTCAAAGCTTGTTCTGTGCACGTCGATGTTCATTGGTTCTTATTGACCTTAAATTTGTCATTGTTTACTTCTTTGTTTCGGTTGTGTCTCCCATTGTTTTGATTTTTGTTCTCATGTTTGTGCATGATTTTTCTGATTGGTCGATAAATTGAATTGATTTCAATATGTTTGTTGATTGCTGATTGACCTGAGTGCCAGGCTTCTAAAAATACTCTGGTGTTTTTGAGTTTCCTCCGTCTAAGATTTCCACATTTTTCCAATCGAATGAGTGTCCGCAGCTGTCCGCGTGTATTGATATGAGTGAGGAGATATCATGCCGTTTGACTGCTAATTGATGTTCATGTAGGCGCAGGTGAAATGGGCGTCCGCTTTGTCCGATGTATTGTTTTTCGCAGTTGGCACAATTTATTTTGTAGATGATGTTTGATTTGTTTTCCTTTGTTATTTCATCTTTTGGTTTGTATAGGATTGATTGTAGTGATTTTGTTGGTTTGTGTGCTACACCTATTCCGAAGGTTTTCAGCAGTCTTGTTGCGGTTTCTGATATTCCTTGTATGTACGGTAGGGTGATCCTTTTGTTGATGTTTGTGCTTGACTTGAGTTCTAATGATGAGCGCTGTCGGTACTTTTTGACAAAGTTGATTAGGTAGCCGTTCTTCTGAAATACATTCTTCAGGTATTTCTCTTCATTTCTTCGTGCTGCCAGTGTGCTGCAGTGTGTTCTCGCCGTTCAGAAGAACGATGAAAGCTACACGACCAAACCATCCAACTCAGAGAACAAAACTCCACCAAAATCATCCACCTGAGCTACAAATCTTCTCCACCATCTCATCTTCAGGTCCCACGCTAGATACATCTGAGACCCCATTCTCACATCTCAGTCAACGGCACGCGTCATCTGCACCACCTACGGACGAGACAACAGTCACGCCCAGATCTGCAGACCACGCAACCCTTGACTTCGATCAGATTGCAGGCTCACGCGACACAAACGAGACTACTGTCTCACGTTCCGGTCACCGAGTACGGTTGCCCGTACACTTCCGTGACTAGCTGCACAGTCAAAAACCGATACGGTGTAGGATTATTCCTATACTATATGCATGCTACACTCTTATTTTTCGATTGTTTTTCTGTATCCTGAGCTCATGCCTCCGACCATCCCCGTTTGGTACCGTCGACTTCAGTCAACTTTGGCGAAAGCTGGACTGGCCAACGCACTCAGTCGATATTTTGGTTCCCAATGTTTGGTATACGTTTGGTCTCGAACTTGGTCGTTATGGTCGCTTCTGGTTCCTCGGCTCAACGTGGTTTCGTCCTACGTCTGCAGCGTTTCTGGTCCGAATCCCTACGAACTCAATCTTCAGATTCTGGATACAAAACCACTCTGGTGTGGTATGCCATCTCGAGCAACAAATATGGCACACCGCTCCTGGTACCGTTCTCCGAAAATGATCTTCGTTGGCAACTCGACGATCAACGATCGCTTTCCTGTTCCTCCAATTCTTCCGTCCTACAATCGCTCGTCAGCCGATCAGTCCAACGATTGAAACCGGTATTTATTGAAAGCGTAAACCCTTTCTAGAGGGGGCTCCTGCAGTGACTCACATTTATCATGAGAACACGACTGGTGACATAAGTATTCATAGACCAATAAGAGTAAGACTATCTCGGCCTCAACTTGAAGTTATGCATCCCAGTCGAAGGAAAATGGAACATACAAGTTAGTGCACGCGAGGAAGACGAATTTGTCGAGACTCTAATTAACATATCATCTTTCAATATTAATTAACGTCTCACTCATAACAATCAGACTTCTGTATTTTCGTTTCTAAAAGACTTCATATTTAACCTCTCACTGTCATTAAAACACAACAAGCAAGTTGAAATTTAAAACGCCAAAACAAATAATTATATACAGACCGTTGTGCTGGGTATGGATTAATGTGCGAAAATAACAAAGTGAAGTGCAGATTTTGGTTGCTATCATGAGTATTGGTGTGGTATTTGTACGAACTAATGATTCCTTGGTCCTTGATTTTCCACTGATTATGAATTACAAATATAATACGTTCATTTGTGCTCGTTTAGCTCTTCATGACTCATATTGCACTATTTCGGGAATTCTTAGTTATTCTATTAATTTGAATGTCCCTAATTATCATATGGTGTTCTCGATGAAGCCTGTGATTGGACAATTGGATATATATTAAAATTCTGAAGCCTTCGAAGATGCTAGAACTGCATGTGTTAATCATCAAGCGCTTTATGAAATTGACTTTTAAGACATCAAAAAGTCAAATACAATACCTAGTCTTCCTAATCTGATGCGTATTGAGGTCATGCAGGTAGGTATGTAATTAACGATAAATCTAGCTCTCGTTAAAGCATGGGTAACAATTTGTTCAGGAATTGCAGAGCAGCTTACAGAGGGGAGCACAGGTTTGCTAAATGTTTATCTTGAGGTAAATTTCACCTGCATAATTCCTGTGTCTTTCATCATACCAAGTGCTTTAAGTGTGATAAAGTGGGACAAAACGAGTCGTTCTGTAGACTTGCTGTTTGTTTTGCCACTAGTATTGATAAATCCTGTAGTTCAGATCTTACGAATTTGGGTGTTTCTAAGGATCGTTTGTCTCTTTACACGATTTTGAAAGCAAATTTTTATATTAATAAACAATTAGATACCTCCCTTGATTCATCCTATGACTTTACTGTTGACAAAGGCAGTATAGAGTCCATTATTTCATTCAAGAAATTAAAATCTTTAGATTCTAACATTGTAGTGCAACCCATTGAAGTCTCGGTATAGGGGATTATTGGACACAAACTACTCATACGAGGATGCTAAGAATTGCTATTGAGAGATGATAATTCATCATATATGCCTTGTGAGTTTTCAGTTAGTGAAACAGGACCGTCAATGCTGGGTTTGAAAACTTGAAAAGGATTAAAGTGGAGTTGTCTTTAGTAGTTTGTAAATCATTTCTGGTGCTTTACTTAAAGATTTGATAGTTGCGTGTGCTAAGTTAAATAAAGGTATAAAAATTCAGCTCATGAAACTTCATGTACGGAGTAACCCAGTCTTTCTTATAATACAAACGACTTCTTATGGTCTTTGAAAAACAGAAAATAAGACACTGAACGATTTGCGTGTAAAAAGTAGAATTGAACGGATTCAGTCTTAAACGTACCTATTGTTATACTATGAAAGTTGGATGGCAAGACCCCTAGAATATGTGGTGACTATAGATTATTATTGAACTACCGTTCGATGAAGCAAACATGCACGACGGTTGAGGTTCAAGGTATCCTAAACCGACTACATGATTCTAAAGTGTTCTCGAAAGTTGACCTAAAAGATGCCTATCTTCAAATCCCTTTAAATCAATCTTCATCCATTTTGACGACAATTACCACTCCCTTTGGCCTATTCAACTGCACCATTTTTCCATTTGGTCTAAGTTGTTTTTTAGACATATTTCAGAAAATGATGAATAATGTAGTCAGTGATATTGAAGGTGTTGAAATTTATCAAGATGGTCTTGTTATTCATGATTCTGATTAAGCAGCTGATGATTGGAGACTTATTGGTTTATTGAGTCGTTTAATTTAGAAGAATATTAGGGTGAACCCAAATAAGCATTCACTTTTTTAATCTAGTTTCGAATGTCTTGGATACCTAGTTGACGGTAATGGTTTTAAACTAGGTATGAAGTGACTATCTCCACGGGCAAATGCACTATCTCTGAAAAGTCCTGCAGAACAACTTTTCTTGATGGATGCACTTTATTGCTATTCCCGTTATATTTCTATTTTTCCTCTCATTATAATTCTTTATTTAAAATCTGAACACACAATTCGTTTAAATGAGGTAAAGGACAAGAGTCGTTCTTATGATGTCTTAACGTTTCTTCAAAATGATGCTGTTCTTCGTACCTGCTCACCTAGTGTACATTCTGTACTTATTACTGATGCACTATCTGTGGGTATTGATGCAGTTTTGGAGCAAGAAGGTAAACCAGTAACCTGTGTTTCACGTAGACTTGTGGAGATAGACCTGACAAGCTTATTTTGTAAATAGTTTTTAATATTATTTGTATTTATTTTGTCAATCATTCACTTTCTGTATACTTTATCAATAAATGATTGTACCTGTTGTTTTAGTAAATGACCTTGAACACACTTTCCGTTGTGATTCTGACATAGCGTGACATACTCTTGCTGGCTAACAAATACACTACTACTCACATATTCCTCGTTCTATCTTCGTTTGTGATTGAGTTAACTGAAGTCTAAATCAAATACTATCATTATTTATAGACTGTAATTGGAATATATCACATTCTACGTTGGATTATATCGCTGGAGAGTGCGTCAACCAGAGCGGAATTACCCAGCATCTACAATTGTGGTTTCTTAGTACCGGATCAAAGCTAAACACGCATCAATTTGGTGAACTTAAGTAAAGTCCCAACTTTCTATTGTATTTGTAATGATTAACTTATATATATTAACATTTCTATTGATCTTTATTAGCTTTGTTGATACTTTTTGCGTTTATATATCGTCTGGTCCACCACAGACTTACTGTTGCTGAACAAGGCTTTTCACAAACTGATCGAGAAGCATTAGTTGTGTTTTGGGCTGTTAAAAGACTTCATAAATATTTATTTGGGGAGAAATTCACTATTTTTAGAAATCATGAAGCCTCAAGGTTCATTCAGCTCCCTAAGAAAAACAATCAGGAAACAATTTTTGAGCGTAATTTCTACAATTCTACTACGAAAGAAAAACTATAGTACAAATACATAAATCCTTACCACTACCTCTCCCACTATCCCGTTAACAGTTTTTCTGGCACAAAACGATAAACGGCATTGCTAAATACGATCACGAAGTGCCTGAGAATCAACAAAAATCTTTTCAACAAATTAGAATCAAAATACTGTCTTCACGAATCAAGTCAAGCAGCAAATATTTCCATTAGACATTCAAAACAGTAATGAACTACTCGAGCCATAACCTCAAGGTCTATCAATTAGGAGTTTATTATCGACTATCATGAAATGACAATATATGTCTTAACCAAAGTCAAATGATAAAGCTTTATTCAAAGAAGTCTAGGGAATGTGACTTCAAGGTAAGGTAACACGTCATACCAGTTTTGTTCAACCAGAGTGAACAGATAATCTAAACAAGTCACTTACATTGGAGAACTACGTATTTTTAATTAGTGCGGTAGCTCATTTAAAAATATAATAGCTAACGTACTATATGTTGCATAAATGTACTTCATATTCCTGGTATTTTTCATCTACAGATCGTTTAACGAAGGAAAGCTAATAAAAATAATGTCCTGCTTTTCGGATGCAACGCTGGTAAGACTCGGCAACAAAAGAGCAGATACGTCTCATTCACAGTAAAGCATTTTGAGCCAATTAGTTTTTGGAATCTCTACAGTTGGAAAAACGTATCTGAGTCCGTTGTATCTGCATGCATGACATAAAGAAAAAATGTAAAGTGCAGTTGTTTTTAAGCCATAAATAACTATGACTCCTAAAACGTTTATTTCCCGAACATTAGAAAGCAATGTGCCATCGATAGCACACACAAATTTTGCGGAGTCTGATGTGCATCAGCACAATCTTCCTGGGATTAATTTCTAAAACCCAACTTTGGAACATCAAACTAATTCATCTAGGTCGGTGTAGAGCAAGACAATCAGCCTCACTACATCTTATTCTCCAGATTTCGAAACAATGTCGACGACTTGTGAAGAAAAATAAGGAGGACTTAAGTGCTTTGATATACACCACTTCCAACACCACTTCCACCCCCACCCTTTATTTTCGAATACAGATGAAGTTTCTTATTCACTCTTGTAAAGTACTTAGTATTCCAAGTTTTGAGAGACTCTGAATGTGCCCTAGGTGAGAAATGTCATAGAAGACTTCGCTAGAATCGATGAATATCTCATCGACAGGAAAGCCGTATCCATGTACACCTGTCCAATCATTTTCGAAATCAGCAAGTTAGTTTAGGATTAATGCTTAACTCGGAACCTATATTGGTTAGCTAACAGATTGCACGATTCTGCGTGACTTGGCAACTCTGCCCGAATTATTTTCTCAAGAAGCTTAACTAATGCGCTGGTACAACTGATAGGTCACTATATAGACACGCATGATCTCTTTACACGCCTAAATATAGGGCCAAAAATGTCATTTTTCCAATACCTGAGAAGATGAGTTTCGGAAAGGGACGTGTTTAGCACCATTATGAGTGGTTCTGAAATAGTGTCCACAAGGAATGATCACATTCGTAGATGCAAACCCTTAGGACCCGGTAACTTACTACGTCAGAGGTTAATGGGCAGTTAAGAAGGCTTTTTAAGTCAAGTGTGCTGGTCCTATAGCTGCTATTTCAATGGTGCTGTTGTGAGAAGTAGTGTTAACAAAACTCATAGAGTAGACCTGGTAATACATGTTCAGCTTTGCTAATATAACGTACTGTTTGTCAGTGACATCGTCACAGTGGTGTGTGAACACTAAATTCAGCAATGATGGTTTATGTTCTAAGTCAATATTTGCCGCTTTTGCGGTGAACTGTACAGGTGTGCATTGAATAGTAGTTGTCAGTAGGAGCCGTTAAAGCAGTTATAAGCTCTATATGACTTGTATGTAGGGTGTTCAAATCTCTAGAGATGAGATAATGAGTCGTACTCCACTCGCTGATATGACATTAGCAAAGTCGTCAGCACTACAACGTAAGATATGGTATGTTCTCAACGAGGTCACGTCTCCGTATATGGACTAAATTTTCCAATAAGCTACCTCACATGCGCCTCAATTGTGCGTCTTCGATTCACTCGATTTTACTAGTACATAATACTGGGCTTCCTCCATTTTAATTTAAAACTTTACCAGTTCTAATATAAATTTGTCTCTCAGCGTTCAAAGAACGGTCTACATCTACAATAAGCCACATTTCTGTAACAACATTTATATCAGGACTCACTTGTTCCATCGTTAAAATTGGCTCGTACGTTCTAGTTCAAGACTACGAGTGTCTGTGTAGCACACGCATCACTCGTGCAATATTGTTATCGCTAAAAATACTGCGAAACCATTTTTCAATCTTCTTAAGATTGAGAAATACCCATATAAACAAAGTCAGTTCTGTGTGTTTCGGACTGTGGTTGTATGCATGAATCCTAAATGCAGATAGTTTAGAGCATGATCTGATGCACACAATAGGCAAAACTTCCGAGAAAATAAAAACATGATAAAGCACGGTAAGCTGTGAGCGTATTTTTTAGATTTTGCGAGTAGTTAAATCCTTAAGTTCATTGTTGCCTAAGTTATTTAAGCCACTTCCCATTAGTCATTCAAGAGGAAAATTTACATATTATAAAGGACTCAGGACAATATTTCGCTGCAAGTTTCGAATGTTTTTCCTACATTTATTGGATGTATATGAATTTGAGGAAGCCACAATATCGGGAGGTTGGTAACGCCGTCACCAGTAACACCTTTATAATCGAAGTATTCCAAACTAGTCAAATCAGAAGTTAAAAATAAAGAAGTTCAAAGGTATATTTGGAAGACAGTCGGTATGTCAAAGGAAGCTTGATTTAAGCTTGCTAATAGTTGGACGGGATGTGTAGCACGGTGTATCCACTTGTGATATGGCACGGATGCGAGACTGAGAGCGTTCAGTTGGGCAAGTTCAGTAAAACTAGTGAGGTTAGCATCATATAATAACTTACAGAGCTATTGGTTTCGCGGATTTATTTACCGCTGCAGGTTCTTACCTGGAGGCACCGGTGATCCACTGGTACCAGATGCGGAAGCTTGTTAAGTCAAAGTTTTTTCTGTTCAGCATATAGTCATTCGTGCAATTTATGTTCGATGATTATCTAGAAATATAAATTCAAACAAAGAAAAACCATACGAAAGACAACGACGAGCATACTATTGACATAGACACTACATAAAACTAACTGTGGTCAAAACTTAGCTTTATTAACGCAAGAACATGTCATAACATAGCAGGCGAGTAGATAAGCCAAGAACGAACAAAATACCCGTGGCATACAGGTTTCAGCACCGAGCCATCAATACTTCGAAACTGCTGAGCGAAGCAGTGGTGTCCGCACTTTCAACTGACTCTTTCAAAATAAGACTGGAAACTCACAGGAACATACTAGAAAAGAAATAACATAGGCCGTGGGCCTTCTGTTCTAACCATACAAATCGGAATCTGATTCTGTACACCTTGCAAATTAACCGCGCAGACCAAACTCAAGGTTATAGGGTTGTGAGTGGCATTACAAGTGTCCATATTAATCGATCGGTGAGACAATTCGAAGTAACTGTATTTGATGTTGTACAACACTTTATGGTTTTCATATTTATACCATATTGTTTTTGCATCATCAAAGTGCTGAGAAAGCTCTTATGGTTTCGGTGATGTTCCTAATCTCCCATGTTTAAGGAAATTTTGAGGAAACCTACAAAGTCAAATGACCTTCACCAAAGTTAAAGAAGAATTTTTGGGAAGTTTTGGTGCCATTTCCTCAAAGTTTACAATAGCGGCTCCCCCGAAGTTAAGAGCTCGGGTTGATCATCTGTTTCTACATTATAAGATACTTCATTTCTCTTTTAGCATAGTTTCAACACATCTTGAAACCCCACTTCTCTTTCAGCTTGATTTTTCTAACTTTTTAGTTATTAATGTGATCCCACAATGCCTTATCATCCCATGGGACAAATGTTTATTGCTTCTCACTCTGATTTAAAAACTGTACTAGAGACAATATCAAGTTTACAGTCTGAGCGTCACAACTATTGCTTTTTTTATTGTAATAGGTCTTGTTATTTACTTCGGGGCACCATAAATTTACTTTGCGTGTCTATATTTTGCATATCCCTACTACTTTTCCCTCAACTAGAATAATGGTCAGCTGACAGTTATTGTTAAATGGTACAAAGACCCTCTGACAATATAATTTAGAATCTATAAAATCCTTCAGTGTCATGGTGCTTTAGTGGCTTTATATCTATAAAATACTGCGTGTTAGTCCACTAATAATTGAAAAGTAGTGTGTTGACTGCTACTCAAAGTTCAGTAATGGTTCACGAACCTTTCAAATAATCTAACTATGACTGCGCTTATAGTCTGCCCCTGCCATATATTGAAAGTATAAGTCCTTTTGTGATAAAAGAGAAATGGTTCTAATGATTGAATCTATGGGTTACCATCCACGTCTCAACACTGTGGAAGTTTAGACATCGCGTCTTAGTACGGCGTTAGCAACTGAGAAACTGCCAGTTTCGTCCATAGCTTTTACATCCATTTGCTTTGCCTACACTAAATTGAAACTATTTGATCCTTTTTTTGTAGAATCTGTTTTATACTCCAAATGGATGAATTCGAGGAGTACAGGTATGTTACTCTGTTTTCATATCTCAGTGATTTAGAAATCCACTCACTAAGAGATATGCAAGCCGTGAGATGGTGTGCAATTTCGGAGAAAAGCGAAAAGTAATCCTCTGGCGTCAACTGTGGATATGGTTAGCAGAGACACAAAAAGAGTTGGGATTTGATATTACAGGTAGGCTATCATCAGACTCTCGTTGGATAATGTGTTTATTTTCTATAGACTAAGATAGAATCTTCATGTGTTTACGGATGCCAATGATGAACAAAGTTAATTTTTCACCTAATGTATCTGTAGTTAAGGAATCTCACATCTTGATTCGGGAACTAGATTAGCTGTAGAAGTTCACCTAAGTCGAAATCGTTTTTTGCAGTACTTTATGTAATATTTACAGCATCAAACTAAGTAATAAGACAGTACGTAGTAATGTCTGTTTTCATGTCCTTCATTATTATATTTGAAATTACACCTAATAGTAATTGTAGATAAGCCTAGTACATGTGCCACACTTTTTTTTCATACTACCTGTAGATATGATAATTCCTCGTATTGGATATCAGTTAAGCGAAAGATTAAAGATTATAAGAAGCAACATACTCCATTTCATCAAGGTTCAGCACTATATATATATATATATATATATATATATATATATATATATATATATATATATATATATATATATATATATATATATATATATATATATATATATATATATATATATATATATATATATGGAGAGAGGGAGCGTTGGACATTTTATTTTCTAGCTTGATAGGTGTTAACCTGTAAAATGTCGGTTCCCCAATGATCAACAATGTGTGGTTTAATTCCTTCATACCTTATTCAGCACTTTGTCGTTTAGTATTTTTCCTGACCTATTTGTGAAGCGACATTCAATTCTCATATTGTACTTGTACTGCTTGGGCTATCTAGTTCAGTCATTCAGTCAACTTTTATCCTTCTTGATGCATTTTTCATACCTATGTCTCATATCTAAATTATGCATTTCTCCGTTCACAGAATTGTTGTTTTATTATATGACTCTCCAACACTGATTTAGACGAACAGATTGATGAAATGAAAAGTCAAAGAGATTTAGTCGATTTCGGGACTGCCGCAGCTGAAGAAAAGGCTCGGCGACATGACGTGATGGCGCATGTATACACTTTTGCTTTAGCTTGTCCAAAAGCTGCACCAATCATTCACCTCGGTAAGTCTACGTGTTAAATATTATTTTTAGTTAATTGGTTATGATATTTCGAAAACATTTTATCTATTTGAACACGTAAACATTGTTACAAGGGGGCACCAAATATATATGCGCCACACAATAACAATGAAGCCAGCAGTAGTTACCATTGGTTTCTGTGAGGGCTGCGATACTGCCTGGGTGTCGAAACCGAAGAAGGATTTATAAAACAACATGTTAGTTTCATTTTTAGTAAAACCTGGCAATATAGTCAGAGTTCAAACCATATACTGGGACATAAGGCATGCCTATTTAGTGTAAAGTAAGCTCAATTGGTGGGTGCAAAATAAAAACGTAATCCATGTCAGGCATCCGATTTCTTCAAATTGTCATTCGTTTGCGTTCGTATTAGTAGAGTTCCGATTGTTTGTAATCAGAATTTACCGTTAGGTTGTACTGGAGACTAAATTCTATTGAGGTCTAACAATCATTCGCAGTTTGATTTCGAACTGTTAACCAGATTGCAATCGATCTCCTAATTCTCAGTTCGTTATCAAGATCAAATCGGTGGTTATATCCCACCTTTTGTTAAGTATAGTTGATTTTATGGTCGTATTACTATACACACGTTTCTGTTCGTTGGATAGGGATATCTCTGGCAGTTGGTAGCCTAATAATAGTATTCCACTGTGTTGTGTTGAACAAGCTTCATAAGTCGCAATAAAATAAGAGGATCTAACTACTACAGGACGTTCGTAAGAATATCTGTATTTTAAGGCCTGAAGAATAAACACCATCTTCGAAAAGTAATGAAAGCCTGTATCAAGCGAGATTTCAGGTTATAAGAATGGAAGCTTGTTTCTAAACACTATTCGATCTGTCTTTCTGGCCGGTAATATCTGCATGCACGCAGTACGTAGTGATAATCACATATTCTAAAGACTTCTGCTCAACTGTTTGTACAATTTTAAGATATAAATACACTTGGAATAAAAGGTAATATTGTTTGTCTTTAAGTATTGTTGTGATCCCTAACAACGTACTTGCGAGCTGATTACCATAAATATGCTATAAAAACTGACACTAATAAAGTTAGTTATAGGAAAAATAATTCAATGAAGATACATTACTTTTAAACCAGTACCGCATATGATTGTTATTGCTTCTGTACGTAGTGTCTCTGTAGAATGTAACATTATTGATGTTTAGATTCACCTTTCAGATTTTTAATTCTCAAATTTATTCTTGGAGCTCCTAACTCCAAAAATTAATCTAACTTTACTATGAAGTGTTCGAAAGACTGAAATGCTCTCACATGGTCACGTGCATACAGCCACTGTCAGAGAAGTCTTTCTCACTGCCTTCTCGTAATGGGGGCCTTTTGTACGAGATTGAGAGGACAAAAAGTGAATGTCCGGCGCTTTAAACGGTTTTATAGACACGGAGAGTCCACCCAGGGGAGTTGGAAAACCCTAATTCCAAATCAATAGTGGACATGGGCTCCAGGATCCTAAGGAAACAAATGGTATGTGAAATTATTGTTGATCACCAGCTACCATGAGATTGCACCTCCTAATGTTGCTCCACTGTCCTATGGACTGGACTTCTAGGTCAAAGGCTCGGGGTGTGACTCCCTATGGAAACCACCCGTCTCGGTTTGGGCGCCCGGGCAATATTCCGGCCTTCACAAAAATCGAATGATAAAGTGTGGCGCATATCTATTTGGTGCCCCTTGTACTAGTTTTTATGCGTTTAACTGATAATAATAGGAATAAGAATAATGTAACAACCCATATGGAATACATTAATATTGCAATTCTTTGTATACTGTTTACTGAACACAATATAACGTAGTTACTCATTTCAAAAAATTCCGTAATCGATAATACACGACACCACTTTTTTATTTGGTGAATGTATAATTGTCAATTAGATTTAAGGTTCTCAATCTCTTATATGAAGATGAACAAATTAGTAGTATGTAAAGGTTATCTAGTCAATAATAACGCTGTTTCACTGCATGTAATCGAATCATGCGTGTTTAGTTCTATTCGTTTATTCATGGGATCCATTTGTGAATGAAATAAATTAGCCGATAGTTCTGAATCATCAAAATATTGAAGTCCAGTTTCTTCTCTCAGAGTTTTCAGGTAGTCGTATACCTGAACAATATTATCCTCTGAGGGTTTTTTCTATTATATGCAGATTTAAGTTCTTAATCTCCTTTTCAAAACATAAACATTATTTTTAGCAAACTACGTTTTAATTAATTAACACGCACATGTTTATGTGTATCATTGATATTGTCTGATTTGGTTTTAATATATACACAGGTGCAACATCATGTTTTGTTGGTGATAACGCCGATTTAATCATGCTTAAAGATGGTTTAAATATACTTTTACCGAAGATTGCTAGATGTATTGACCGGTTAGCTAAAAAAGCTATGTTGCACAAGAGTTTAATATGTCTCGCTCGCACCCATTTGCAACCCGCTCAACCTACTACAATGGGTCGTAGAATATGTATGTGGATACAAGATTTGTTATTAGATTTAGAGAATCTAGAAAGGTTGAAGAACCACACAATTCGTTTTCGTGGTGCTAAGGGTGCAGTAGGAACTCAAGCATCTTTTATGGATCTATTTCAAGGTGATCATCAAAAGGTTAGCTTACTTACTCTTGTCTTTTTATTATGCCATGATTATTCGTTCAAATAAAATATATTGTATTTCGAAAGGATTCGGATACTTGACGCTGGATTATTCCGATCTAGCTCCAAACTATTCTGCCTTAAGTACCTAACGTCTTATGGGATCTCAAGAGAGCAATGAATACAATTTTTGAGTTACAGTCATTCTTATCGTAAAAATGCTGTCAAAAGATAAAATCTGGCGTTATTTAACTACATATATTTTATAGTGTTCCTATCGTCTTCTTTGGCGAATATGTATTTTACGGCCATCGTACGAAATGCTTTAGTTTAGTTGTGTAGAGCAATCATTTTCATATTCTCCGATAATTAATGCCTATCTAGTGGCGTAATCATACAGCACCAAAGTAATAATGTGTATCTGTTTCGGAAATGCTTCAATTTCAGGATGAAGATGATTGAAGTTTTTAGAATATATCTTGTTATATCTAAACAAAAACTGAAATGGCTCAACACGAGGAATATACAGAAAGACTATATATGAAGACATTGTTTCAAAACAGACCAAAAACGATGTCCGAATATACTGAGTTTTATATTTTTTACCTATACTAATCAATATTCGAATTTGAATAAATCAAATTGGGTAATACTAGATATTGATTATTCGGTAACTTAATATCCAGACACAATTTACATCATTAAATTGGATTTTTATTATTAAGGAACGTAACTGTCTTATTAAGTTACATCATTACTTCATACTAACACCTTCCCCTTTTCACTTGAATATATATATTAAACGTTTTTGTGATGTTCTATATATGAATTATGTTAGCGTTATGTAGCGGCTATTTATAGTGAATTCTATTTTACAGGTTATCAAATTGGACGAAATCTTAACCAAAAAGTCCGGATTCCAGCGTTCTTGGTGTGTAACTGGTCAAACTTATCCAAGAAAAGTAGACAGTGAGATCTCTAACGTGTTGTCGAATATAGGTGCAACTGTTCATAAAATATGCACCGATATACGACTGCTGAGTAGTTTTCACGAAGTTGAGGAACCTTTTGAAACCAAACAAGTAATACTTTTTTCTAATAATTTACTTGATGTCCAAATATATTTAAAAATGATTTGATGATAAGAAACAATCTGAGTTATGGATTTTCCAGTGTCGTTTTTGGCACTACTCCTAGTAATACTTGTATTCTGATACAGATCTCAATTATAATAATATACTCTTAAGTGATTGCATGATCAAGAACGGTTTTAATTCGAACAAAATTGATATGTCTTTATGCGAAAAGTAAGACAATGTTAGAAGATGAGGTTTTATTTCACCATCCAAGCAAAATATAGCATTTCTTTTACAAATACATTCATTTATATACAGGTCTGTTTGAACTGATTATCCGTAACCCAATCCCACACTTAATGTATGCAAAACGTATTGGTACACCTAACTGACACAACAAATTTTATAGAAACAGGTGTTAATACCGAACGAAATATCATACTGAATTAATACACGACCTCACACTCCACCCGATCCTAGCAACAACACATCGTGAATGTCTCAGGTTTACTCATCACAATCATATATATATAATAGTTTATCTAAGATCATTACGATAACAATTAGCTGTTGAAATATCTTCTCACTTGCAAATTTGCTGACTTAATGAATAAGGGATCAAGTTGTAAGTTTGAACTTTGTTTCACATACTTCGTTTTAACAGCTGTATGGTATCGTTCGCCTTCAAACAAAATTTTTAGCTCAACACCAAGGACACAAATTCATACTTGGCTACTAAGTTGCATTATACTGTTCCATTATAACATTTTATAAATTAATTTAGGTATCAGGTATATTACACACCTATCACTTCCGTACATATTGTTGATAGGGTTTTCAGATTCAACTGAATGTTATGATTTGATCAATAAGAGTGTCCCTCATTGACTCTCAACTATTTGTTGATAACGTATTGAGGAAATTTTTGATCACCTTCATTGGACTAAGTCTAATGAGCTCTTCCAATATAGAATAGTTTCATCTAGCCTTCACTTCATTTTGCATTGCTGAAGAGAGATATAAGCATGGCTTGTGTTTTACAGGTGAGTTCTGAAGCATTTCGGAAGGATCGAATCTTATTGTCTGTTACAATAATGTTATCAGTACATTCTTTTGGCACTGTTTGCACACAATCAGTGGTAAGATCCATCAAAGTAGTTGTGGGTCGATTTCACCTAAGGAAGATCTGATTATCTTTTGTTTCAATAAAAAGTCCCATTAAATATTTCGGTAATGATGATGAACTCCCTTAAATCATCAATATTATCTCATCGACCAAACAAATGAAATTATTCTAACGCAAAATTATAATATTCTTATGGAGTAATACCTTACACAAGGATAAGGGACGTAAAGCAAAACATGGTACAGACTCATACACTTCACTTTAAACTTTCTATTAGGTAAGTTAAGTTAACAATACCAACTGACTGAGAAAATTCATGTAACTGAAGTAGTATAACTGATTTTCTTGCAAGTTCATTATGATTTGTCCTTTGAAAGTTCCGGAAAAATCACTTATTAGTTTTTCGTACTTTCGTCAGCATATATGAATACTTGAGTCAAGATCAAGTCGGAGCATGTCGATTGGTTAATTTCCAACTGATCAGCTCTTTTAGACTGATTTGGATAATCAGTCAGTCAGTAACAACGTAGAACGTCGTACGTACGTACAACAGTTCGAGTTGCCACACCACCTTAACGCAGAGATGCAGTTGTCGATCCAAATCCCGTAGTGGTAGAGGTAGCAAGAGTGTAAGCAGTGATCGGGAAGATTAGGGTTTGGAGATGTTATTTAAAGAGTATAATTCAGTAAAATAAATTTGGAAAGAGGAAAAAAGGGACATGAAGAATTCAGAAGATTAGAATTTGGGAGAACACAAAGAGTGGATGCACCTGCGCCATTGCAAACTATTTTGAGCCATGTCATTCAGGGTCTCTAACCATCGGTTGCTATCATCTCGCGGTCCCCAACCAGATAGTCTACACCTATCAACATGACTCAGACCACTTGTCAGTGACTTCATGGACTTGTGCCATGTTTTGGTCTGGCCGCCCCTAGCATTTGGATAATACTAGGTTTCTGTGTACATTTTATATGAACTCTAACGTTCTTACCACTATATCTTTCGATGTTCGAATTTTCGGAATATATTTTCGTTCGTTTTTTATTCGTGTTCTGATTTGGGACTAATCGAGTGAAGTATTTTATCTAAAGCATACCAAACGGTAAACATTATAATAAGCTTTTTGTTGTCCTTCGGTTATGAACTGAAATACCGGTTATAATTCGATTTTCGATTTACAGATCAACTCTAATTTACTGACAGCTCAGATTAGTATCATTTTAACACTCCAAAATAACAAACACTACAGTTTTCTCTCTGAAACTGCTTCGTTATTCAATAGTTTATCTACATTGGTACATAGCACTTCATTTAGCTCACATTTTGTAGCCTACATGTTTGCTTTGTTTTATCCCAAGTGGCTTATCGAAATCGAATGTATCGATTAATATGAAAAGAAATTATTTTAAGGTTTGATTTTTTCATTGCCGGATAATTTACGTAAAAGAAATGATTATGTACCATAACTGATACGAGAATTAATATAAATTCAATAGTAACGCTCTATGTTAAACTGCTAACTTCATTGTCTGTTTTAATAATATTGGCAAACAATACTAGGGAGTATATCTATTTTTTTCGCCAATGTGAACTTTATGTCAGCTTAAATGAGTCAAATCATCATTCATTCATGTGATGATAATATTATATATTACTTTTTGTACACTTTGCCAATAGTTCATGCGTTCGTTTTTCATCACTTGAAATGTATATTATTACTACTATTAAGTTCATAACATTTAAATTGTTTACCATTTTGTGTAGATATGGTATTTTGTTTTATTTTATTTGAACACATAAATATTGGTACAAGAGGGCACCAAATATATATGCGCCACACAAAACAATGAGAATTTGAAGAGAAGAAGGGAAAAAATGAAAAGTAAGGAGCGTTTAAAAAAGAACAATAACGGACAGATTAGTGTAAGGTAGTGTAATAATAATAATAATGGGGGAAACAGAAACGTACAATCAGAAGAGATCTTTCAGTTAAGGAAGACACAACCACTTTTTATGAAGAAAGTAGAAGTAGGTTACAACAGGATCACCACTGGCTTCAATTCTGAGCCATATCTGATAACGTCTCTAGCCACTGTGTAGATATGGTATATTATATTTCACTCATATATTTATAAAATTTGTCCATGCTCCTGTAATTCATTTTAATAGTTTCACTATAATTGTACAAATCTAGATCGGTTCAAGTGCAATGCCATATAAACGTAATCCTATTCGTTCAGAAAGAGCATGTTCTTTAGCACGTTATCTAATGCATATATCGACTTCCATGGTTTCTACAGCATCTGTTCAGTGGCTTGAACGTTCACTAGATGATTCAGCTATTCGTAGAATTGTTCTCCCAGAAGCTTTTCTTGCAGCCGATGCATGTCTTATTTTGCTACAAAACATAGCTGAAGGATTAATAGTGTACCCAATGGTATGTCCAGTCTTTGCCGATTTGTTTATTCGTTATGAAACAATTTTCTATAGATGCTTTCGGAATTTCAATATCTTAATTGTATTAATTTTTTAAAAATTATTTCCAAGAGTCATATGGTATGCAGTTCTTTTTAATCAGTAAACTAATTAAACTTGAAATTTACTATTGTTCTCCACTGTAGTATTATGTCTCATTAAACTGATATTAAGATAATTAATTTAATTGCTGTTCAACAAAACAGTTGGTCATATTATTAAAATCATTAGTTAAAAGTACATCCATGTTATGAAGCTAAAACTAAGTCAATACGTTCAATGAAGTAGAAGCCCCCAAAAACTCTAACGCAATTAGTTAATGTTTATTCTTAATCAAATTCCAGAAGCAAATGAGAAAAATATAGCCCTATGAACATAAATTTAATCGAAGTAATAAAATAATAACCTTTAACTGAGACACTTTCCACTAAGAAATTCATCAAATCTACAAAAAGAGTTTAAGATAGTCTAGAAGAAGCATATATTTTGTCCACAAGCAATCAAGTAAACTCTATTACTACCTAAGTTATTTATAAAAGGCTGAAGGAAACAATCATAAGTTATATTAAAGTGGGATAAGAAAACTTTGTTTTAACGTCAGTAACCATGAAAGAATATATATATTACTTCCTTACGCCTGTCACTCCTCGAGGAGGAGCATGAACTGCCCACCAAGATTCTCCATTGAACTCAGTCTTGAACAATCCTTCACAGTTGCTATTCATTCTTTTGATGACAGTTTACAGTTCTCGATGCAGTGTGTTTCTTGGTTTTTCTCTTTTGATTGCTTTCCTTTCTTTCAGGATTCCATTTTAGGACATGCCTCTTGATGCAGTTTGTTGATTTCCTCAATGTATGTCCTATCCATCTGCAGCGTCTTTTCTTAATTTTCTCTTCAGGTAGAAGTTGGCTTGTTCTCTGCTATGGTAGGTTGTTGTTGATGGTATCCGGCCAACGGATCTGGAGTATTTGCGTAGACAATTGTTTATAAATAATTTTACCTTTTGAGGATGGTTATAGTAGTTGACCAAGTTTCAGCTCCGTACAACAGAACTATCTCGACGTTCGTATTGAAGATTCTGAGTTTGATGTTAGTCGAAAGTTGTTTTGAGTCCCATATGTTCTTCAATTATGGGAATGCGGCCCTTGCTTTTACGTCTGCACCGGATCTTCCTTGTTCATCGATCATGCTCCATTGATGTGTAAAAGTTCCCACATTTTCCAGAGCTTCTCCATTAAGTTATTCAAAGTGTTCTATCCACCTGTTCCGCTGTTCTTAAATGTCAGTGATTGCCTTGCCTTTTTTGTCCTTGACTGGTCGCTCTGGTTTACTATATTTCCCTGTTAGTTTCTTCATTGTATCATATAGTTGTCTCGTATTCTCGAACAGCTTTTTTCCGCTATCGTTGCTAGCTCTTCCACGTAATTCTGATATCGGCTCCAATGCTCCTCTTCACTTGCTTGTCTGCTTCTGTGTATTCGACCTTTGCCTTGACTTTCTCTGCTCTTGTCTACTGGTTGTTAATTGTTGCCTTTCTCTCTTTCCTTTCTTGAATCTTACCATGGGAATCAGCAGAGACGCATTCTCTATGATGGTGCTTGTTGCTACTCAGAACCTCCTGACATGTTGGAGTTAGTGCTTCTTTGATCCCTTCCCAGTTGTTCTCCATAGTGGTTTCCTCCTGTTTGATTAGATCTTGTAAGGCTTGGAACCTGTTGTTGAGAGCTATCTGGAATTTGTTGAGTTTGTCAGTATCTCAAAGGAAAGCTGTATTAAACCTTCGTAATGCTGTTTCCATGTTGTCCAGTGTATTTTTAGCTTATTTCATCCTGTTCACAAACACGTGGTGATCTGAATCTATGTCATCTCCTCTTCTGGTTCTCACGTCTTCCATTGTTCTTCCGAATTTTTTAGTGATGCAAACATGATGGATCCGGTTTTGTGTAGTGTGATTCGGCGAAATCCATGTAGCTTTGTGTATGTGTTTGTGGGGGAATATTGCGTCTCCAATAACCATTTTGTTGAATGCACACAAATTTGCAAATATCTCCATTCTGATTCCAATATCCCAATCAGTCCATATTGTCCCATTATATCTTCATGCCCGGTGTTGTCCATTCCGACTTTGGCGTTCAGGTCTCCCGTCATGATGGTCAGGTCGTTTCCTGGACACTTTTCTACGGTCGGTTACACCCTCTCACAAAACCGGTCTTTATTATCTTCCTTGCAATCATTGTTTGGCGCATAGAACTGCATAATATTCATTGTGATTCCCTCCTGTGTTTTGAAAGGTGCTTTAGTGATTCTGGATCCATGAGATTCTCATCCCATAAAAGCTTTTCCTACTTCTTTCGATAGTGCAACGCCTTGTGTGTGCGAAGCATTTCTTGTTGATGACCCGAATACAATGGCGAATCTAATCTTTTCTATCTAGCTTGGGTTTAATGGATTTCACTCATCCGAGAACCGCCGGTTTGTTTCTCCTCATCTCCGTAGCTGTTTGGTTAGCCCTCCCAGTCTTCTATATTGTCCGAACATTCCATGTACCTATATTAATTGTTGCTTTGACTATTGGAAGGAACATCGGCTGCGTGACTTCTGAAGAATTTCGGCTTTCACCAAGGCATGATACTTCTCCTAAATGAATATTTTTCAATTTCCAGGGCGGAGTTTAAGTGGTTTAAATTGTTTGTTCTGGTCAGTGTTTTTTAGTAAAGTTGTTATCCACGGCATGGTGTTGCTGATCCACTTCCAACCCTCCTCCTTTGCCTGGGCCTCGGACCGGTAGTAACTCTAGAAGAACTACAGGTGGAGTTATATATTTATAACCATAGCATAGAGAATATATCACGTTCGATAGAAGTAATAATGTGGCAACAAATTAGCTCCTAGATTACAGTTCTTTTCCTTAACAAAGCACGTTAATTAACAGGTGGATAAAGTATTTGCCGTACTTAAGGTACATCTTAATATTTCCGTACTTTGTAAAACAATTCATACCCCCCAAATCAAACACAAATATAATTAGAGTTTAATCAAATAGCATTAGTGTTGAAAGTGGTTGTATTATGTTGTCTGATTACGTGTATATTCTTTATTGGACATCATCTTAAATGTATATTTCAACAACCAATATGGTTTTGTCAATAGTTTGTATGTACAAATGCGCACTTATCATGCTTTCGTATTTATATTTGACTACCTCATTTTGTCTTGTGACAAGAAATGTGATGTGTGTATATCTTCGTTCATATTGATTCTTTCCGTTTTTAACAGGTAATGGAAGCTAATTTAAATTCTGAACTTCCTTTCCTCGTTGTTGAACGTATTTTAGTCAAAATGGTGTCTGAAGGCGCAGCCAACCGTCAGGAATGCCATGAACGCCTTCGTAAGCATAGTCATGAAGCTGCTGCAGAAATTAAATTAAAGGGTTTAAAAAATAGTCTCATGGATAAGTTACTTAACGATGATTATTTTACCCCGATACATTCGTTACTCCCAAATTTATTAGATCCATCTTATATGATCGGTCGTGCTGTTGAACAGGTAATGATTTTTATCACACCTGCTTTACTGTTAAATATCAATAACAATTTTATAAAATTTGATTACACAATCGGGTAGCCTGTTGTTGTAGTGGCATCGTTCATGATATTCTGATAAGAAAGATGTTAATGTACGTGGGATCCATAAGATAGAAATTTTTTTTAAAATAAATATTCTAGTTTAGTAAGATAGGTATTGTGTAAAAAAAAGCATTTTCATGGCACGGAGTACCATTTTGAATATAACTCCTTAATTCGTACATTTTAAGGGTTTTTTTCATGCATTAATATAAACTGAAAAACTTCTGTGAACTAGGAAGCACTAGACAGCTAGCTTTAAACGTATTAACAACGCACACTTAGAAACTTTTGATTTCTTGATAACTACGATACCCTTAGTCTACTGAGTCGAAATCCAGTAGGTCATGATTCCAACACCAGTCATTTCGCTGTTCTATTTGACCATCATTTAATGTCATAGGTGATATCTCTTTTATTTTTGATATGACCGGATTCCGTATGTCGAATTCACACTACAACCCTTTGAGTATGTGACTGTCATCAAGATAAATAGTTTTGTGTAAATTATTAGATTTGGAGTTATCTGTCATTGCTAACTGGTAACTATGGTTACATTTTACTCATGGTCACGGGATTTCAGTGTACGTCTAACTGATCAAATAATCAATAACACTCCGTGTGTATAACTTATATTCATTTGACACAGAGACAGACCAGACGGAAAGGCCCTACAATTCACATTTTTTTACATTTTCCACATGCTCTTATTCTATCACTAGTCTTTTCAAGGTCAATATAACTACATGAAATATTGTATCATATCAGCCAATAATTTTTTTTGGTTTACATTCAGAATAATGGTAAAATAGAAGTTTAATTGTCTAGACTTTGTTAGCTAACTATTTAATTTCTTCATTTCTTCAATATTTAGGTGGAAGTATTCTTGAACACTGAAGTTGATCCAGCGATTCACTCATACAAAGATTCTTTAGCACTGAACAGCAATATCACAATTTGATATAATAACTTTATAAATAGTCAAATTGTAGTAAACTTTTACTTCAGTCCATTTCTCTTGACATGTTTGAATAATTAACTTTTGTTATGGATTTTTACTGCAATTTTTCAATTCTTTTGATTTTAATATTGCTCTGATTTTCTCCTTTTTTTTCTATAATATTCATTAATTTGATCCAATCTTTGTGATATCTATAAAATTAATTTTTAGGGTTCCATGATATTGTTGAACGTTGATTAGCCAAATCATGGTATGTTACAATGTTATGTTCAAATTGTATAAATCATCAAATATAGCTCCGTTAATTACATTAGTTATAGTCAGTCATAAGTAACGTAGAACTTGGCACCTATTTACATCGGTTCAAGTTGCTACATGATACCAAAACGGTGAGATCCCAGAGTTGTCAGTCATAAGCAACGTAGGACTTGGCACCTACCTATCAGTTCGATTTGCCACATCACACCAGGGCAGTGGGACTGCGGAGTGGTATAAGCAGTAACATTACCAACATCGGGAACCAGGCCGTATAACAGAAATCGATCTCATTATCTATGTTCTCAAAATGGTAAAATAATCTACTGAGGTGCCAGACGCCAAAAAGATTTTATCTGTTTGATGTTATATCCTTCATCCGATTATTGAGCAACTAGACTTTAGACCAACCTGCGTTTTACTAGGTGCGAAGTCCAGAATTCAGAAAAGTTTATGGTGTCGAGTTTGAAATTTAAACGAATGTTGCAAATTCATCTATTGGATTTCAACAAGCCGAATATCTACTGTAATGGCAATTTTATTTTATGACCTAATTAGAAAAGACAAAAATCCTAGTTTGATAACTACAGAAGAATCAATTCGACTGGTATAGTTTCTAAAATACTACCCTATATAATCTTCTGACGCGTAACTAAGGCTCGTAATGAGTAAACCAGACCGGTTTCACACCGAGACTTTGATGTACCAATCAAATATTCACACTCCATCAGGATTTAGAGCACGGGAATACTTGACACCCAACTATAGCTGTATTTCTCAACCTTAGGGCTCCATTTGACTCTGCTGACCGGTGGGTTTCTGTGATAATGTCTGTCATTGAAAGGTGTACCAAAGATGTACACAAACTTGCGGAGGTTTTCTATTCAGATACTATTGGTCGAATCGGAGCTTATTACCGAACTATCATCAAAATTTTCAATGTTTAGTTGTGTTCACCATGGTTACACACTGTCCCTCTTTCTATCTAATTTCGTCCTAGATGTACTGGTAGGAATAATACTTCCTTCACCTGATTTTTCAACGATTAGTCTACCAGAAGGTTGACCTGTTGAATTAGAATAAGTAGACGACATAGTTATAAAAACGCTGACAAGATGCAGACTTGTGATCACACTAAGCAAAAGCTCAGGCATGTTTGGGATGCAGCATTCCTCTATAAATACATTCCCACTCCATTTTTTCGAACCATATTTTCAACTCTCAATCCTCATTATTATTGCTACTACATCATTTCAATCTCGTTTGATATTCACCTTGTTATATTTATTTCGTCGTCCTAATGTGATTCGCTAACGCACATCTGCGTCAGACTCGGCGTATTGTTTGTCTCTTTCTTGGAAAATGCGTATTTCTGAGTGAACACTAGTTTTACTGCATAGTTTACATTCGTTGTTATGACTGCATCGAGCTTTATGCATTACACTGATCAATACTTATTGTCCGAAGGTATACACGATTACCATATCACTGAAATGGCTATTGCATTTTAATTGAGATCAGGTTGGTTTATTAGAAATAAAAAATCTTGTTCCTTAAGCGGTTAGACAATTTAGTTCTGATAACCCCTTAGATAGTGGTGAACGAATCTAACTTGCTGAATATGGTGAGATATAATTCTTGATTATATGTATCTGATTAATTATGTTGATGCTGATGTTAACCGGTAATTTATTTGTTTTAATTTACTAAAACATACACTTTGTTTACAAATTCTCCTCAATGTAATGTATCTGTAATTCGCATTTAAAACACGAAATCCACCGAAGGGATCTCCATTCAACAAATGTATTATTAGGCTGTATATATCTAACATTTTTTGGGATTGACTTCGTGTGGAAATATGAATATTGAGTAAGAATGTTTATGTCATCGGAAGATTTTAATACTGGGTTATTTAATGCAAATGATAACAATGAAGGGTTTTATAAATTCTGTTAACAACATGATTAGACTGAAATTTGTGATCCCGACCAACTGTCAGTTTTGTACACAGTTCACAACAAAGTGATATAAATCTGCATAAAGGTAACCAAACCAAAATAGGAATTAGATAATTCTAGTACAATCAAATTGCAAAGCGGTATGGACAGTGGTAGTTCAAAGAAAGTCCCATTAAAAATAAGAGGATAATGAGTGCTAGTATTTCAAAATACTGATGATTGATTCGCTTTTATAATTTGGAACCAGATGATCCAGTTACATTGTGGTCTAATGTAGGTCCATGTACTCAACTTCAAGCAACCCAATCCGTTCCTACTGATTATCTGTTATCTCTTGAAGACTCACTGATCAATAACATGTGCCAAGTCACTAATCAGAGGCATAATTCTAATTTGATCCGTTACTCTACAGCATAGTATCTCCGACTTCGTATGTTAGTAGTTTATGGGCTAGTTGGAAGCTTATAATAAAAGAAATACATATACATAGCAATCTAGTCACTCGGTAATTACACAACAAAATTATCATTAATAATAATTCGGAAATCCAGTTCCAACTACTATAATATTCGTTCAGTTATGACACTATCCATTTGTCCGAAACCGAAGTAATAGTGAACTTGCGATCCATTAGTTAGAAGTCAAGTGCTGTAACCACTAAGCTACTGTTCTACGAATATAATTATTTAAGGATACAAAATTACGATAAACAAAGTTTTGTGTTTATTCTTCCTACATTTTTGAATATCTCAACTGTCTATTAGAATATGAAGTGATAATAGACGTCATGCACTTGATCACGGTTAATTTTAGCTGTTGACAAAAAGTAAATAATGGAAAGGTATATAATATAAATTAGTTATTTCAACACAAAAACGTGTCTTTACTATTTACATTGTTCATTTAATGTCGCATAAAAAATTGTTATTTGATGCTAATAACATTTTAGCATCTTGCTCCCTAAAATGAGCACTGTCTCGATTGTTTAAAAATGCTTCCTGCATTTCGCGTAGATTCATTTCCAGTTGTTGGCGTAATTTCCGTTTATTTTCTCTGAGAATCTAGAAAATCAGTAAATAAACAAAAGATTTATTTAAGTTGATATAAAAAACTATCATCATCAAAATATAACAAATGTTTGAGCTATTACTATTGAAAATGTCGAATCGGTTTGTAAATAGCGATCGATTATAATCAGTTTTTTCATTCTTAATTACAAGAAACTGAATAGAACGATAGTAGTGTGAAAGATTTTGCATTCTGTAGACTTGATGGTTTAATCATGAAGACATTTGACTAATGTCAATTCAATTCGGTTGTTTGTTTACTTTGAAAAAGTGGCTTACATTAGGTCACGAAACGTCAGAAATACAAGATTTCTACTCATTGGGATATAACAAAAAATATATTGATTATTAATTATCTACCCAATGCTCAATTTATTAGAAACCATCATGTCCGACCCTAGCATTGATACCTATAATGGCTACATCGACTGAAATACTTTTCTTAATAAGAGCTCAATAAACTTAAATGATCTCGTATAAATGAAAGTGTTCCATCACCTGATATACAGAGAAATAAAACTAACTTGTCATCAATACAGTCTAACGAATATTTCAATCATAACAATACTGATTGTAAGCCGGATCTACGATTGATTAAAACAACACACTTGGAACACAATGAACATCGTTTCTCTATAGCGTGTGAAAATAAGCATAATATTATATTTTTGAAAAATAATTAAGTTTCAGTCAAAATGTTCAGAAACAATACAAAAAGCTTATAAAGTAAGAAATAGCATGAGGATAATGGATTTTTTATAAAAGCATTACCCCTCTTACAGTTGGTTATATCATACATGTTAAATTACATGATAGACTAAGTATACATTTGAATTCAGGCGTACTTTTTGTTCTTCACGCATACGAATCGATTGTTCTTCTCTTTCTTTATTTATCTTTTCATTCATTAATTCTAAGCGAATACGATGTCTGTGGTTTTCATAGAGACATAAAATTGTCAAAAAAAAAGTTAAATCAAAATAATCAAGTCTAGGATCAAAAGTGATAGTAACTTTTAAAGCAAATAAATAAATCCTCAATTATATGCATGAAAACGAATCCCCATAAAATAGCCCACCCAGTGATCTAAAAGTAAGATGCTCGTAGAAGGATCTGAAGGCCCTGAGTTAGACCTTAGGTGGCCGGGTCTTGGATATGCATTGCCAATCAGTCTCATACTAGGATGAAAAAGTTATCCAGTGTTTTTTTTGTTTTTCAATGGTTATCTGATTAAGATCATTGTCTGACGTTACCTAGGAAATTTGTTTCATTATCGGAGTCTAACATAATCATTACCATCGAAGCAACATATCCCCTTGCTCCACAGCGTAGAAAAGTGACGATGACTACCACCAATCGTACGTGTTAATTTTTCATAAACACTTGATACTTTAGCTACTTATGTTCAATGCATTGGAAAAATATCCCTAGTTTTTAAAATATTCCTATGAACGCATTCAAAATAGAAGTTGTGTGAAGTAATTGTTGTGACCTTTACCCTGTTAATTATCACGTGATATGATTACCAACGGAACACCAACTTATATTACCTTGGCACTGTGCCAAACCAATAACGCACAAACCAGTACGAGTAGCCTAGAGTCAACTCTGAGTTTTTATTAGTACTCTGAAATACTAGCTTCTCGCCTAACACAGATGGTTCAGTCCAGAACACCAATGTCAGCCTCCGAGATGTATATCAGACATACGCAGTTTAGATACAAGCAAATCAGACCTCATCATACCATAAAATAGGTTATAACAATCATACAACATCAGGCCAAAAGTGGCTGTGATTGTGAGACTGTAACTAATAAATTTGGGACTAACTTAAGAATAGTAAATCGTATAATAGAAGTCAATAGGTTAAACGCAAGCTTATAATAAAAAGAATATGAATATCAGTCAGTCAGCTACAACGTAGGACCATGTACACATGTGCATCAGTCCAAGTTGGCATACCTAATTAACACAACAAGATGAACACCGAATTCATACAAGTAGTTAATTCAGTGTTGGTAATAT